AAAAAGGGGATGGAGACTCCGGTAGCCTTTTGTTTTTAAGAAAATGGTTGGGATCAGCCATTCTCCCTAAGGCAAAGCACCCAATTCCATAGTGTAAGGTGAGAACTACAGTTCCCGGAAAGTTCTAATGTTCCTGAGACTTTGCTTTAAGAGCTGATGGGAATTGCGGGGTTTTTGGTTGTTGTTGTTTTTTTTCATTGACATCAAGAGTGGAAGCTACTGGCTCCTGAAAAGAGGCTTAGAGGTAGACGGCATATCCCGGGAGAAGCACGGTTTTAGAGCTCTCTCATCATCCCCTACTCAGGATGTACTAGAACAGTGGTTCTCAACCTTCCTAGTGCCGCGCCCCTCTCATACAGCTCCTCAGGTTGTGGTGACCCCCAACCATAAAATTATTTTCGTTGCTACTTCATCACTGTCGTTTTGCTACTATTATGAATCGGGCGGCCCCTGTGAATGGGTCTTTCAACCCCCAAAGGGTTGCGACCCACAGGTTGAGAACCACTGGAATAGAAGAAACAGAACTACAACTCCCATCGTGCCCACTGTGGCTCTGCTCTCTGTCTGGTTAGCCCTTTGCTTGTGGGAGATGTAGTTGGGCTTGGGCACAGAGCGAGGAATCTTGAGCCAAGAAAGCACTGACATGGATAGGTTGCGGGGGTCACAAAAAGGACCTGGCAGAAGAGTTTTAAAAATAAAGACGTTACAAGAGGAAGGTCTTCCCTCCCCTCCCCGCTCCCCTCTCCCCCCATGGATCCATTCAACCCCCTTGAGATGGACGAATAGATGGAGGAATGAAGCGCGGGATCTTCCTCCCCACATGCCAGATATCGTGACGCCCAATGGACTAAACGTGAAGAAATTCTCGGCCATGCACGAATTCCAGAACCTGCACGCCCAGAGCAAGGCTCGAATCCAGGAGTTTGTGCGCGGCCATTTCTATGGGTACGGAGGGGGCTGGGGGCCCAGCGTCCTGGGTCTGAGATGGGAGGGGCCTGGGGGAGAGGGGGGACCCAGCTTCCTGAGTTCTGGAGTGACAGACCCCATGGGTTGGGTATTCAAGAAAACCATCACCTTCAGAGAAAAGAGCCAGACGTCTCAACAGACGCCATGATGTGTCCGCACCACGTCAGAGATGGTCTCTGCCCCCCAGGAACCTCTGGGATTTGTACTTCTGAGACCCCGGGGTGGCAGGGGAGGTGACTGGGCCTCATTCTGCCCGGCTTCTTCTTCAGGCACCTGGACTTCAACTTGGACAAGACCTTGTACTTCTTCATCGCCGGCCGCTATGAGTTCTCCAACAAGGGGGCCGATGTCTTCCTGGAGGCCCTAGCCAGGCTCAACTATCTGCTCAGAGTAAGGCCCCCCCTCCCCAGGTGGGGGGGCTGATGTAACGGGGCTGGGAGAGAAGTCTCAGAGCGAGGGTGGCAGGCAGCGTCAGGAATTAGCATAAACTTGTGAGGGAGGGGAACCAGGATCCACACCCCACCAGTTCCTGTGTGGTGGAGGTTGGCGAGCCAGCCAGCCGTCAGCACTGTCTCCTCTTGGGCTGAGCGCCCCGTGGCCTTTTGTCACAGGAGTAGGGTCTGCCTACAGACCCTGCGGGGAAAGGCTGGTATGAGAAAGCTAGAGGTGGGGAGAGGAGGGGAGGAAGGGGGAACTGATTGCAATGATTGACATGTAACCACACCCACACACCCCCTCGGGGACAGACAACAGAAACCATGGGGGGAGATATATAAGATATGAATATCGTAATAATTTATGTGCTCCCTGCGGCAGCACATCCACTCAAAAATAATCATTTATAATTTAGCGAGGAGTCCTGAGGGGTGGGAGGGAAAGAGGAGCTGATCCCGAGGGCTCGATAGAGAGGAAATGTTTAGGAGAGAATGGTGGCAGCCTGTGTACAAATAGGCTTGATCCAGTGGATGTATGCATCGTGATGAGAGCCGTAAGAGGCCCCACTAAAACGATCTTTCAAATAAAAAAGGAAAAACAACAACAAAAATAAATTGAGGAGCTTCCCCCCTTCTGAAGCGTGTTGTGTGAGTGAGAGCTGCTTGTTCAACTGTCCGGGCCTGTTTCCCTTTGCTTTTGTGAGTCGATTAATCATTGCTTGGCTCCCTCTGAGAGGTGTGTTTGAGCTTTCCATGTCTTCTTGTTTTATTTATTGCTTCAGTATCAGGTTACACATTTGTTACATACACAGGTCTTCCTCAATTTCCATTTCTTCAGTTGGTTTTGGCAAACCATCTTTCTGGGAAATGGTCCCTCTTGTTTTAAGTTTTCATAGGCATCCCATAAAGTTGTTTATAGTCTTATGATCATGCCATCTTTTTATTCTTATCTCACATAGGCCCTCTTCCCAGGTCAGCGTCGCTGGGGTTTGGCTCTTGCATTAATTTTTGCCCCCCCAAAACAAACAGCTTTTGGTTTTATCATTTCTCTTAATCATGTTTATTAAATTCTTTTTTTCTGGTCCCCCCCCAAAAAAAAAACAAAAAACAAAAAACAAACGAATGGAGAAGTGAGAAGGTGCAGATATACATAGTGTCCACCTCAGAGGAGCCAGCTTCTGCAGCTCCTGCATCTTCTCTCTTCATGTCCACGGCCGATCCGATGGACTCTCGAGCGGACTCGCGTTGGCCTTCCCCCATCCGTTCAGCGGGCTCGGCCATGTCTGTGCCGCCACCTAGCCGTTGGCCGTGGGCCCTGTCCCTGCAGGGGCATGTGTCAATACGCGTGACCTTTGATCCTATCAGTTTCTTGTGTTCCTTCAGGTGCCTTCCTTTGCCACTGGTTGTGGTTGGAAGGGGGACAGCCCCCCACCACTAATCATGGGTTCTATAGGCACAGTTGTACGGTTGAGATATATATATATTATAATAAAGTTATCAAGTGCATGAGAGATGGAAGAGAGTCAAATAATGGAGTTGGACACATTTCATGGTAGCATGCTCACCTCCTGGATGGCCATGATCTTACTGGCCGAGGCAAGGTGGGGCGGAGACCCGGCAGCTGGCTGGAGACCTGGCAGGAGGCTTCAGCACCCTGTTTATTGCTAACCAAGGGTTATATCTACTTCGGGGGCGGGGTGGGGTGATTACAGGTAACCACACGTCACAGGAAGGGGCAGTACAATAGGCATGCACATTATAGGAAGGAGATATACAATGGGCATAGGTGTAACAGGAAGGGGATGAGCTAGGGGTGTACACATGATAGGAAGAGGAGGAACTAGAGGGATACATGTGACAAGAGGGTGGACTCTAGATTCATGATGGTGACCTAACCTTGGTCACCCTTGGGCGGGCTTGACCTCTCAGGTCTCCTACAAGGAAGCAGTCAACTGCTATCCTTATCAGAAGGGAGTGGGATAAACAGTGGTGACTGCTTGCTGATAACCCTTAGGGAGAATAACCCCTGATCTACTTCCGATGACCCCCAAGAGTATAGTCATTCTCAAGCAGCTAAGTCTGGCATATATTTGGGGGAGACAATTTGGGAGAAATCCTTCTGTTTCCCACCACCCATCCTGATGATTGCCGCCCCATCCCCATACCTCTTGAAGAGTGCCTTTCCTAGTGGGTTATACGCCGGGCCCCTAATCACAAGGCCAGCAGTTCGAAACCACCAGCCACTCTGTGAGAGAAAGAGGAGGCTCTCTACTCCGAGGAAGAGTGACCATCTCAGAAACCCATAGGGGCAGTTCTACCCCGTCCTATAGGGTCACGATGAGTCGGCGTGGACTCGATGGCCGGGAGTTGGTTGTTGCTTGCTTGTTTGGTGGTGTAGTGGAGACCCATTGGGCTGCTACCTGCAAGGTCAGCAGTTTGAAACCACCAGCAGTCCCTCCATGGGAGAAAGACAAGGCTTTCTACTCCTGGAGAGAGTGACCATCTCAGAAACCCACAGGGGAGGTTCTACCCTGTCCTAGAGGGTGTCTGTGATCCAGGGCAAACTGTGTGGCAGTGAGTGCTTTACTTAGTGATTTAACCCCTTCCGCCACCCTCCTCATCCCCCATTCCACCTGCATCGCCTGGTATCCACCCAAGAATGTTTCTTTCTCCTTATAAGATTGTTTCCTAACTTTTCCCAAGTGTGGTCTCACGCGACAGTCGTCCTTTTGCGGATGGACCCATTGTCCCCTGCGTGATGCCCTCCTCCAGGGTCATCTGAGTCCTGAGGGGTTTTTGTGGCTCCATTCTTCCTTCTTGTCAAACTTGGCCAGATAGTCTGCTGTGTGTGCGCATGCGTGCGCACATGCGAGCACCAGACTCTGTGTGTCCTCACAGCTGGTAGTGGGCTCCCTTGTGCGTGCATCTCCCCATCTTACTCTCTGGGGACTCGGACAGTAACTCTTAGGCCCCCTGCATGTGGACAGTTCATGGTGGGAGATGACAGAGACCAAGAGGGACGAGGAAGGACATCCGTGGGGCAGGATGGCGAAAAGGCCCGGGGGAAGCCCGGTGTCCCAGTGTGGGAGGAAGACATAAATAACCACGACGTGGCTGTCCCAGAATTATTTTTCATGGAAGAGGCCCGGCCAGGGAAGGATTCCCGCCTTCCCCGCCAGCCCCCATGATGCTGACCTTCCCCTGGCCCTGTGCCCCAGGTGAACGGCAGTGAACTGACGGTGGTCACCTTCTTCATCATGCCCGCGCGGACCAACAATTTCAACGTGGAGACCCTCAAGGGCCAGGCCGTCCGCAAGCAGCTTTGGTCAGTACCCCTCCACAGCCCAGGATTCCAGCCAGGCTCCCTCTCAGCCGTGCCGTCTGTGCCCAAGGTCACACCTGGTGTCCCTCTGACATCTTTCACGTGATAATCCTGCCCCCCACTAAGTGACAGCAAGGCGTCCCTTGCTGTCCACACCTGCAGGGAAGGAGCTCAGTCAGAAGTCATTGGGGAGGGGAGGGGGGCAGCTGATCACAAGCTGGTGAGATCACACTCATGGCATCTACCGCTTCCTGCACCATCCGGTGACTCCCAGTCATTGGGCAAGGCAGTAGGGTGGCACCAGGGTGGCATTCCCTTTCTCCCTGCGCGAGACCTGGGTTCAGCTCCAGGCCAGTATATCAGGTATGATTACCTGTTTGAAAAACAGCAACGAGACCGGCATAGCTAGAGCCGAACCAGCCAAGGAAGAGATTGGGTGGGAAAGGAGGCCCGAGCCTCAGGAGGGTCAGGCACAGAGCAGTGGCCACGGGGACCTAAATTGATATTCTTCAGCCAGCCTCACCCAGATGTCTCCCAGAACTTTCTCTGCCTTTTTTTTTTAACCCCCCCTCTCCCCCCTACAGTGGGGCTTAGCCTCAGCACCGCCTGGGCTAGTGCGGGGGCCTAAGAATAGCTGACATTTCTGGAAGGCATGTGATGTGCTGGCCACCGTGTCCTTTCCATCCCAGCCACAAACCTCTGAGGTCGATTTCTAACTTTCACTCGTCCCTGTCTGCTGGATGAGTCACTCGAGTCAGAGAGGGACAGCCACCTGCCCCGAGCCACACCTCAGAGGTCAAGCAGGAGCCACCTGAGCCCTCTCGGGCCTGGACCCTGGTGGGGCTTGGGGTGGGGGTCAGAGATTTCTGTTCTCTAGGTCTGGGCTTCTCCGGTCAGGCGTGGGTCTCCCCCGATGCTCAAGGGCAGGTGGTTGTCTGGGTGTGTGATGCTGCGGTTCTGTTCCCCCCAGGGACACGGCCAACACAGTGAAGGAGAAATTCGGGAGGAAACTTTATGAGTCCTTGCTGGTGTGAGTGCCCCCCTACCCCCGCCTTCAGCCCAGTGCTCACTTGGGACCCCCACCCCCACCCCTCTCCTCACCTTACTCCAAGATGCATTCCCCAACCCGTGCTGCAGGGGGAGCCTCCCGGACATGAACAAGATGTTGGACAAGGAAGACTTCACCATCATGAAGAGAGCCATCTTCGCCACGCAGGTAGAGTGGAGAGATGGCAGGCAGTTCCGAGGCAGCCTTTGTCCCCAGAAGCCCCTCGGAGCTCTGCTTAATTGGGCGGCCCTGATTGGAGGGCCAATACTAATGCCATGGGAAAGGTGGGAGCTGACTTTGGTAGACCTTCCAATTAATTCCCAAAAGTCCTGGGGGAAGCCAGCATTCAGGGGCTCATTTGGTCACAGAGGCCACTGGGATTTTTTTGTTTGGGTTTCTCTGAGTCCCTGGGATGAGTGGACTAAAGGGGAAAGGCCTTTCAAGGAAGTTAGGCCAGGCACACAAGGAGAACTGTAATTCCCAGCTGCCTTTGGGCCTTGCTGCGTACCCATTTCAGAGACCACTGTCCTGGGAGACTTCTGGGAGTTGGAGTTTTGTTGGGAAAAGAGAACATCGAACACGCCATGCAGCCTTTGGTGTTTCCGCTCTCGTTGGCCGCCTTAACCTCAGACAACCCCGAGGGTGATTGTTCTTTAAACCCTAGGAATTGAGTGGATGGAAGGCTCTATAGAGAAAAATCCACCCAAGTCACACAGTTAGAAGGATAAAACCCAGCAGCCCCTGGGACTTTCTGCTTTGGACCCGCACCCCTTACCCCAGAGGCTTCTGGGAGCAGGATTTTTTTACTCCTGATGGTTGAGGGCCTCTCATTCCTGTGGTCAGGGTTGGTGAGCCAGTGGCCGGAGAATGGAAACCCGGAGACACAAGCGAGGTATAAGCAGAATTCATTCCCTCGGCTGCTACCTGAAAGGTTGAAGGTTCAGGTCCACTGGTGATCTCTTTCAAAGAAACCAGCCATTGGAAACCGTGTGGGGCACGGCTCCACTCTGATACACCTGGGCTCACCATCCACTGCATTCGACTCAACAGCACCTGCCCAATAGCCCCCAAGGCAGCCTCTCTCGCTGTGTAATGGTTTTGCCGTGATGGGGCCGCTGAGATTTGAGTCAGTTGGAGAAAAAAACCAAGAACAAGAGCCACTGCCACGGAATCAACGGCAACTCCTGGTGACCCTGCCGCATTGCTGGGTAGATTTAAGTCACTCTCCTTTTGCCTGAGCAAATTGTGCCATTCAGGGACCTTGGGAGGCGTGCGGAGACTTGCCGAAGAGAAATGATGGGACGGTTGCAAAAAACGACAGTGTCCCAAGAGCCCCTGGGATTTCCTGTCTCAAGCATTACCTGGCTTCAAAAACTCTTGGGATATGGGGGTAATGAGAATTACAGAATTGTGACGATGGAAAGGCTGGAATTGCCGAGAACCAGGGTTCTCAAGAAAACTACAACTCCCAGAAGTCTCAGGAACTGGCTACCCTAGTGGCAGCCTTGGCCCCATGGAATTCTAGGAGTTGTAGTTCTATTTCTCTATAGTGACAGAACTGAGAGGACAGAATAAAGTAGTTACAACTCCCACCGGTTTGTAGAAGTCTGCTAAGACTGCAACTTTGTCTCAAAGCTCTAGGGCTCCCTCCCCTTCTTTTAGGACCTTAGGTCAGTAATGGACTGAGATAAACAAGCCAAAACAAAACTTTCTACAGATGAGCCAAGGAAACTACAACTCCCATCAACCCATTGAGCTTACTGCCCTGCAGCATGGTGGGAATGGTGGTCCTCTTGGACTCCTGGCCTCCAACCTAGTCAGCCAGTTCATGGGGGTGGGGGGTGGGGGTGTAGGGAGCCCTCTGTCCCTTCCCTAACGTTCACCCCACCTGTGGCCCCCACAGAGGCAGTCCTTTCCCCCAGTGTGTACCCACAACATGCTGGATGACTCATCGGACCCTATCCTGACTTCCATCCGCCGAATCGGCCTCTTCAATAGCAGTGCCGACAGGGTCAAGGTAAGATCTCTGGCCAGGGGCTGGTTGGGCATAGCTGGAAGTAGTACACAGCAGCAGGCCTCAGACTCCCCATCCCCCAGTTCATCAAGTGGTCTCTCCACCGGGCACAACAGAAGAAGAAGAAGAAGAGCTATGAACGGGAAGAGGACACAGAATGTGTGACAGTGCAGATACCGCCTTCTTTGCTAAGAAGCCCAGAAGAACTAGAGGGTGCCCGGCCCAGCTACCACTGTGGAACATTTCAAAATCAATTCCATAGATGACATCTGATCCAAGGGGGTTGGAAATACAGGACAGAGCTCCAAATTCTCCGGAGATGACTGCCCCAAGTTCATCTTCCCATTTTGAAATCAGAAATACCCCCGGACATTTATTTTTTAAAAACCAAACAGCCAGTCGTTTAGCTCAGCTGGTAAGAAATGCCCACCTGGACCACGATGGTCTTTAAAGTCAGTGGGATCCAACGGAGAGGAGCAGCCTGAAAGACTGGCTAGGGAGATTGGGGGGCGGGGCGTCCATAGCAGTGGCCGAGGAATGACGCTGGGGAGGAGGTAAGACTAGTTCGCCGTACAACACGAAGGAGGTCCTCTGATGACGGCGCAGGTAGAAGCGGGAATTTCAGTACGTTTTGTTGAGTATGTGTTTTTGTTTTTGATTGTTTTTGGTATGTGTATTCTTTTAATGTATGAACGACAACATTTATTTGGTAACCAATTCTTTCCCTCCTTTTCTTTCACTTTTCAAAGTATGCATATTCTAGGTACCCGGTAGTGTAGTGACAGACGCATTGGGCTGCAGACCGCAAGGTCGGCAGTTCGAGACCACCGGCCCCTCCCCAGGAGAAAGATGGGGCTTTCCACTCCCATCAAGGGTCTCGGAAACCCACAGAGGCAGCCGTGCCCTGCCCGATAGGAGTCAGAATAGACTCAGTGGATTGTTTTTCCTAATTAAAAGATCTTTTTACTGGGGGCTCTTACAACTCTTAATAAGAATCCGTACATCAACTTGGTGTATAACCTCAACCTCACCAGCACCACCCACATAAGTCCAACATGCAAACAAACCAACCCTGGCCGTCTGAGGCTCAGAGACTGGGGTTCAAAGCCCGGCCCTGCACAGCTGGCTGACCGAGTGAGCCTTGACAAGGCTGTCAGCCTCATGGGCTGCGCTGAGTCCTCAGAGCGTAGAGATGAGCCTGTGTCTCTACTCTGCAGGTGATTTTCCACCCCGAGTTCCTCTCCTCCACCAGCCCTCTGCTCCCGGTGGACTACGAGGAGTTTGTCCGAGGCTGCCACCTAGGGGTCTTCCCCTCTTACTACGAGCCTTGGGGCTACACGCCAGGTGAGTGAGGCCCGTGCAGGGGTGGGGTGGGCGGCATCACGGGGTCCGCTCTGCTCCAGTACATCCACCTTGTGGAGGCCCAGGCTCCTTTGCAAAATCGAAAGGTCAGCGGTTCGAACTCCCACCCAGCTGCTCCATGGGAGAAAGACGGGCGGTCCATTCCCATACAGGAGCCTTGGAAGCACAGAGAGTCTCCAAGCTACCCGCCAGCTCCCATTAGCAGCCAAGCGCTTTAGCCACCCAGGCACCACCAGGGCTCCTCATCTACATTAGAACAACACTCTGGAAAACCTGGTGGGGCACTTCTCTGTCACATGGGGTCATTGTGAGGCAGGAGGGGAATTGACAAGGGCAGTCAACGACCTTGGGCACCTTGCTAAGTTGGGAGGAGGGAGCAGCGGTCTGTTGTTCCCAGGCCGAGAAGCTCCCTTGATGCTCAGCTGGGCGTCAGGGTCCACAGCTGATTTCCGCCAAACCCATCCATGGTGAACCTCCCCTTCCTTGGTGGTGTGCCACCACTTGCGAAAAGGTGGCTGGTTCGAATCCACCTGGAAAGATGGCACTGCTGGTGGTCCCAGTCTTAAACACACACAGCGGGGTTTTGCCGTGAGACCCTCATCCACGCAGGGCAACTCTTCTTAGCACTGCTCACAGCAGCCAGATGCACAATGCCATGCTGGGAGTCACCCGGGAGCCATTCCATGCCCTCCGCTGTCCTGGGCCACGTGCTCAGAGTCCAGCCTGCCTCCCTGCATGTTTTCCTCGTTGGGGGCACGTTTTCCCAGTGCCCCACCCCTCTGCAATTCAGCCGACCCATGCTCATGTGTTTTGGTTTTAATTAT